CAAATGAGTTAATAATTGTAGATTCTTTTTTATGACACTAATGATAGAAATTGTGTCCACTAAATATTAATAAATAATAAATCACTCTACTTCTCATTGGGTCTTCAAATAGAGAATATATTTTAATAATTATAAATTCCTCTTTTCTGACACAAATGTTAGAAATTGTGTCCAGTAAATATTAATAAATAATAATTACTCTATAGCAAAAGAATATGTTGGCACAATTATGGATTTGTGCCTTTATTCTACTATAAAACGTCCACACACTCCCTTACTAATTTGTATATGGAAATTAAGAAGGTTGCTTCATACACATATGTTTCTTTTGAATTTGAGCAAGTTCTACATCATTGACAATGGCGGACAGGCGACGTCGTGGAGTTAGAATTGGAACTGAATCTCCAGCATCACATTCGTATATTGCTTCCAACATTACAACAGAAAATTCCACAACGAATCCTCCAGTTCAACGTCCACGACAACCTGTTAATGCCGGGCGCATGCCTCGTCCTTTTAATAATCAGTACATTCTTACTACTTTTGTTGATGGTCGCCTTGGCTACGCATTACCCTTCAATAACGGATGCGTACGCGCACCTCAAGGACGTGTATTGCCAGCATGGGCAAACCCAGGTAGGACAGAACAATATCCTGTCAATTTGGTTTCTGCTGAAACAACAACTGAACAGTCTACCAATTCTGTCGTTATTATTGAAGAACCACGCACTTATCAAGCACAAATTCGTCCTAGAGGTCTGTCTGTCCCACAGTTGAGCTCACGAAATATGCAGAATGTTACCGTTGAGATTTTAAGCAGCAATGACGAGGACAATTAATATATTTTGTATTATGTTATATTTCACTGGTGTACTATGAAAATATAACTATCTTATGCTATGCTGGACTCCTCTTGGGTCATTTTATCAACTTATGTCGTATTCCAATATAATAATGTTTTCTTTCTAATTAGCCCTTGTAGATTTACTCCTAGTATATATTTTTTTAGGTTATAATTATGTTTCTCGTCCGCTTCATACCGCAGAATTTAGTGAATTCACAGCGTGGCAACACAAAGGTTATGAGACATTATTTCTATACTAAAACCCAAACTCGGGTGCACTGTTTACGGACAGTGCGTGGACGAAAATGCCCCCAATTGGCCTTCAGCTTTTTTTTTTTTTACAGTAAAATGGCGGTTTTGTCCTCCCAGCCCATGCGTCTCTCATCAGTGTGCCTCTAGGTTCGGTCTTCTTTTTCTGTTCCTTTCTTGGCACGCGTCCATCATCGCTGCCCGTTCTGTTTCAGTTCTCTGCTTTTTCTTTCTTTGCTTTCCATTTCCCCCCTCTCTCGCCCCCTTCTCAGTGTTTTGCAAGCTTTTCTCCCTTTGTCTTTGTCGCCATGGTCTCCATCTCTCTCAAGCTTTTCTCCCTTTCTATTTGTCGCCATAGTCTCCATCGCTCTCAAACGTTCGTTTCTATCCCTGTCAAATCTTGGCTCGCTGGAAAAATCCGAAGTAGTTTAAACTTCTTCAACTTTTTGATTTGGATTGAAGATGATTTTAAGCCAAAAAGGTTAACGTTTTCTGGTAAGTTCTTTGAATAGGTTTTTTTTTTTTTGTTTTTTTGTTTTTTTTCAAATCTATGGGTTGTGTTTTCTTCAATTTTAAAATATTAAAAATTGAATCTTTTTGTTTTTTTTTGGGTAATATTTTTCATTAGATTATGCTATGGGTTCTGATGAGGCTTTGAATTGGGTTTGAGAGTTTTGATTTAATGAGAGAGATAAGGAGTATACACGGAGACAGGGAGTTAGGTCATTTGAAGAAATGGAGATTAGGGTGCGAGAAAAACGGGAGAGAAGGGGTAGCAGATTAAATTTTGATTTTATAATTTTGTTTGTGTTTAAATTTTGCGTTTGTAATTTTGGGGTTTTGTGTGTGCGCTTGGATACGATTTAGTCTTCAATTTCAGGAAACAGTGGTGTTGCAATTTTGGGGCTTTCATGTGCAACCTTGGAACCACTTTGTGCTCAAGGTATATAAAAGGTATGAATTTTGTTTTTGTAATTTTGGGTTTTGTTTATATCGTTAGATTCGTTGTCTGGGCGTATGATTGACTTCTGTTTTTCGTTTCAGGAGACGGTACTCTTCGTTTTTTGGGGCTTTTGTGTGAAGCTTTCGAAGCCCTCTGTGCTCAAGGTAAATAATTTTGGTTTTTTCCTTTTGAGGCTTTTGTGGAATAATTCTTTTTGTTTTTTGTTTTTTCGGTTTTTTGTTTGTGTAATATTGTGATAGTTTTATTTTGTATATTGTGAAAGTTGATTGTTTGAGAAACTGAGTAACTGTGTATTTGTTTGTAGTTATGGTATGAGACGTGATATAAATTGAACAGGATGAGATAAGGTATTTAGGTAGTACAACAATTGATCGTGAAAAACTATTAACAAACTACATTTGAAACATTCATTCATTTATGTTATATGTGGTGGTTCCAAGCTTGAGTTCTTTTTCCATGCAGCCTTCTGTTGACCAATACGGGTCTATGCATTCTGGTAATGCTACAAATGGATAAATCACATCAGAGCGTCTGCTACCCCTTTGTTACCTGATTTCATGGATTCATCTATGTGCCATCTCCGTAACTATTATCTGTCTGCTGCCTATTACTATGGAGGTAAAACTTATCGGTGAAGTCCTTGCTTTAGATTGGTTTATTTATGGATTGTCAGATTCTTCGTTAAATTCAGGTATATTTTTTATATCAAAATTCATGTGTGATATGAATGGTTTTGTGAATTTCTTTTAGGCTATGATGAGACTAGCAACAACTGGGATGACTACTTGAGATATGTAAATCCTAAGGGAGTATAAATGATTTCTGTAAGTTCCTCTTCCGACTTCACAATTGTGTACTGGGTAGTCATTACAAGCTTCCAGTGATAGTTGTCTAACGCTTCGAAGGCAGCTCTCTAAAATTTAAATTATCTTTCTGAGTTTGCTTTTCTTCTAATTACATAAAATTGATATTTTTTTATATAGTTATTTAATTGTCATATGCTCTGGTATATCGATTTCTTTTTTTTTCTCAAAATTTTTGCTTCGTTTTATATAATGCTTAGAAAGGAGGAACGCCCAAACTGGAGGTCAGTCAAACATGACATCCTTTCTATGGACCTGAGGTCAGTCAAACATGTGTTATATGTGTATAGGTAGAGTTTCCATTGCTTGAATCTCCTCTGCTTATATCACTTTATTGGGTGCCAATTTTAGGGGAAATTATGAGACATGGAAATTGTTGCCAAATGCGAGGACATAAAGTTGTCTATTTGCAAAATTACGTTGAAGTGGCACAAGGACCCTAAGTTGGTATGTTTGAGTAGATTACCTGATCTCCTTAGTTGGGTTTAGGTTTAATGCTCAGTGGTATGTTGTGCTTCTGCTTCTTTTTAATTATCGAGGATATGCAGAGATCGCAAATGAAAAGATTGTATTTGCTGTGTTGATGCATAGTTGAGCCAGAGATGCAAAAGGAATATTCAATCTCAACATCTGTGAGCTTTCACTTAATTTTATTATTATTAATCTTGTTTGCTCTTTGAAATTTGAATGTATTAGTTTTTTAATTTTATTGGGATTAGTTTACCTGAGATGGGTTTTGGGTATATTTTTAGATTATGAAATTTAATGTTAATTGATTTTCTAGGAAAAATGTGAGACTCTGAGTATGTTAAGAGGCTGAAACATTGCATAAAGTGGTTCCAAGAGCTCGAGGAAAGCTTCTTACTAGAGCTTGAGAAGTTAGAGAATTTGATTCTGTTATTCGTAGACCATTCTTCTGAATCTCTGGGTTTGAAGCAGATCAATTTTTACATTTTTATGTTTAATTTTGGGAAGAAATGAAAATGAGTTTTACCTTTTTTGAGTGTTTCGTTGGTACTAGCTTGCTGCACATGCTGTTCTCTGGGTGTAATTATAATTATCTAAGCAAGCTCACTTATAATTATCTAAGATATATATATCAGCAGCAAGGGTGTGGAAGCTCACACGCTCAGATTTCAACGCGTTTCGAAGGTGGAAATGACAAGAATGTGCAGTGTGGACCTCCAATTTCTAGTGCTATGATGCATGAGGACTGCCAAAGTGAGAATACTGGTTAGTTGTCATCAAGCAGCCCTTGTAGATGTGTATTTTGTTTATATATTGCTAGTTTAACCATTAGTACGTTTGACTTGGGGATACAAGCTTGGATATGTTATATTTTGTTGTATATAGAGAATCCCGGGTATATCCAGCATAGGATAACATGTATTTTTTGGTTTAACATTTGGATGGGTTGTATTGTTAGGTTGCATGAATCGGTCTTAGCCGAGAACATGGGTTATGTAATATATTAACTTCACTATTTTAGTGCTAATGTTGATTTATGTTTAGTTTGTAATGGATGATTTGTAAGTTTCTAAATTTAGGTGGAAATTAGGTTCTATGAGCAACCTGATGATTTCCATGTTTAAATAAAAATATCCAATTATGCCACAAATTTTTAATTGTGCTGGAGTTTTATTGTATTTATTAAAATATAATAGTGGCACAATTTTAAAGTTGTGCCCTTGCTTTAACATTTATACAGCAATCTGAGCCTTTAAAATAGCAATTGTGCCCATCTTACACCATACATTCAGTAGCCTTTATTAGAGGTAAGACACAATAAGGGTTGTATTTGTGCTTAGCTTTGGGCACAAAACATCATATTGTGTGCTATAAGTAATGGTGACGCCCATAGAGAGCACAGATACAAACTTAGTTGCTGCACTGTTGCTATTGGTCTATGAGCACAAATGTTGGTGCTTTTTGGCCTCAAAAGGCACATATAATTTTTTGTGTGCAGTGCTCATTTTTTTTGTAGTGAATCCAAAGAAGTGACTTCACCAGATTCAGGTGCAACATGAAAGAAAAAAGAAATAAACTATTCAAAAAAAGAAAATAATTCAACTCAAAAAAATTATGCAAAGAACTAAACTTTCGTTTGTACGAAACATAATAATTTGTATTTTTCTTCAGTCTCATTATCTTTAGTAGAAGAAGAGAATAACACCTCGAGCACAAAAGAACATAAAATCTTCTTCTTTCTTCTTTTTCCAACTTTAATACGTCACCTTCCCTTTAACCAAGATCTATCTCACCCAACAAAAAAAAAATTAAAACAAAAGAGATGGAGCTGAGAGAGATCAGAATTTAAATTCATTATGTATTATGGGTTACCATGAATAATATGGATGGACGAATATCGAACAATTTAATTAATCACTCTGATCGTCTGGCTTTCTTGATTTTGGCGCGCGCATCCGGGACGAGTAAAAAGTTGGAGAAAATATCATTCAGTTGTGCTTGAGTAAACTGAACCTTTCTGCGAGCAGCCGGCGGCGGAGGCGAAGGCGACCGCCTTCTCTTTAGAAACGGTTTTCGCGGCGCTGGTGGACATTCTGTCATCGGCGGGATTTTGTGCTCCAGAGACGTCGGCGTTTTGAACCCGTCGTCGTCCTCATCCATGACATCCTTGCCGTTCGTCGACGATTCATCTTCCCCCGGCAGCGGCGGCTTCTTGCGGTCTTGTTTTGCCGGGGTGTTAATGTGATCTGGTGTAATGTTCTGGGACTGCTTTGTTTGTTGTTTCTTGGACCGTTCTTGTTGTTGATGATCATGAGGCGCATGATCGTGATCCGACGGCGTGGATCGAAACTCCGACATGGGTTTCTCGCTCCGGTCTTGTTTGAGTGAATTCGAGACGTTGAAGACGGAGATCCGGTCGACTAGGTTTGACTCCATGAACGACGATCATGCAAAGACGAAGAAGACGGAAAGGAGATATCGGAATCAATGGTGGGTGGGAAGAAAGAAAGGAATTTAGAATATACGGGATGTATTGATCGATATAAATATGACCGACCGATCGAATTCACATTACTCTGGTATTCCTATTCCCAATCGGGTTGGGTTTTCTGGTATTTCTGTGAGAGCTTTGCTTCACTTTTAGAGGTAGAGGAAAGAAGGGAAACTGTTTTAGCTACATAACCCTACGAAAGATTGAGTTTCTTGAAAGTCTTTCGACGATGGAGTAATTTTTCGGTGTAACTGGAAAGGCAGATGAGATGGGAGAGAGTTTGTGTGCATTGGATCCAACGCCGAGAGCGAGAGGGATTGAAATTGTAACTCTCACACTAATAAATCGAATGAAACTCTCTCTCTCTAGGTTTTGGATATGGATCGGAAGGTGGAATAATATGACAATTTTGTACTAGAAAGAGAGGGTACAACATAACATGTTTGTTTGAGTGCTTCTGATCTCATATGAACTTTTGATGTATCTATATGCACGTGGCTTGTCATGGGACCACATATATTATAATTTTTTTTTTGTCAAATAATCTAATTTAACATCTCGTGATATTATGGAAGGTGCCTTGTTTATCATGCAAGCAAAGCATGGTTAAAATATAAATTTTAATAAACTGGGTAAACTTATGTTTAAAAATAAATAAATAAATTGGGTAAACTACATTTATTTCTTTAGGTTTGCGTGCAACTACAATCTTATTCAACATCGTTAAAACATTTCAATTTCATACATTTAGTTATTATTTCATTTGAGTTTCGTACAACAGTTTGGAAATCTGTTAAGTTAGTAGTTAAGTGACGATGTGGTAACAATGGGTTCCATAATTGTGCTAATGTGGTTCCCAACTTGTGCCACATGGCCAAACAACTAATAAGCATATTTGAGTAAATTACATTTTCTACTCTCATATTTGTGTTCAGTTGTAACATCACACAACATTCTTAAAACATTTCAATCTTCACTTCAATGTCATACATTGCTTAAGAAGACCCAAAAAAAGCTTGTGACTTACATGAAATGATGAAAAAATAAATGGAAGAAGAAGAGAGAAGCTAGAAAAGCTTTTGTGTTCTCGTCTCAAGCACACCTCAACGATCCCAGTAAATTATGTTAATTAAATTTACCGAAATAGACGTCGGTGAAGGACTTGTCGAAAGGTTGCTGGAGAAGGAGAGGGTGGACCATTTATAATTAAAAATTACTTTATTTGTTTTTATTCATGTGACACAAATTATGTGGGGTTCGCGACGTGCATAACGAAGAAACTGACAGAAATTGGGACGATGTATGACATTGAAATGGAATAATAAGTAAGAGTATGAAATTGAAATGTTTTAAAAATATTGTATGATGTTCCAATTGAACGCAAACTTAGGTTGCAAAACGTAATTTATCCAAATATTTTTTATTAGTTGTTTGGTCATTTGGCACAGCACAAATGTGGAACTCACTGTTATCACGTCATTACTTAATAGCTAACTTAATATATTTTCTAATGGTTACATGAAATTGAAATAAAATAGTAATTCAATATATGAGATTAAAATATTTAAACTGAACAAGTAAAATGTAATTTACCTCAAATTTTATTTTCTTTTTGGATTTATAAAATTTGTTTTAGTTTGAATGTCATGATTATAATTAATTTGTACCAAATAGTATCAAAGCGAGCTATAAACTCTCCTAATTTAAGACTTTCACGGATTAGTCTGTCCGATTTCGTTAGATAAAGTTGACATGGAAATGTGGATAATCAAACTACAAACAATTATAATTTAACTGGTTTTTAGCATGATAACCCGTGAAAAAAAAAATCTAAAAAGCTGAACAATTCTAACTGTTGAATAACACATAAAAAAATAGAATGTCTGTAACTTTAATAAATTTATGAACATCCTCATAGTAAAAAACCTATTCGCGGATACTAAAATTATTACAATTTAGTCATATAAGTCTTTCTTATTACTAAAAAAAAAAAAAACGCAAAACAAGCTATAAACTCAAATGTTTAATTAGGTATGTAAGCAAACACACCTAAATTTGACATGTATACTTTTGCATATGATTACACGTGATTTAAATTTGAAATATACAAGATATTTCAAAAGTATGTTGGAAAATTTCATCATGATCCCAAAAATAAAAAATGTAAAGTAGATGGTAGTTTTCGTGTAAAGGAATTCACCACCATAAGGGGGTGGTTGGAACCACCGGCTCACAAAGTGGGTAACAATAAATAAACTTGCCATCTAACTCCATGGGTTATGGAATATAAAGTCCTACGCTACTACTTCTACCATGCATGCAGTTTCATTTATACTGCGACAAACCCACATAATGAGGAATTGCTACTCCATATCGACATTATGTACACGCATATATATAACTAACTTTCTCCAATTAAGTCATGCATGGCACTACTGGACCTGGTTAGCATTTCACGAAGTTTGGGAAGGCAAGTATTAACTAACATGGTTGCACCAATATCTCCCATTTAGCTTGTGATTAACTTGTGTGAAAGATTTGTTGGCACGAGAAGTTTTTCAATACGACATGGTCATGTTACATACAAACCATATTGTTTTAAGTGTTCTAAAACTCGTTTGAGATTTTGCTTTTTAATAAGCACTTCTAGCTAGTTACAAGTGTTTTTATTAGAAACACGTTGGAGTTTTATTTATAACTTAATTGCTTATATCAAACAAAAAAAAAAAAAAACACTTGGGTGTGCATACTAAATAAGAACTAGAATATGCTTTTTTAGAAAGTGCTTTAAAGATTTAGAAAGACTTTTAAAACTCGTACGCATTTTTAAGTTTTTCTGTCCAACATAGTCAGAATCGTTTTTTGTAATCATAAAACACTTCTAGTCATTCCAAAAACAATTAGAAACAGACATTTGAAGCTAATCCCTTGATCTTCTATTTGCTCTACCTAAATTTGAATCAATTAAACTTGTCAACTACTCAAATTATAACGTGTAAATTAAAAGCTAAAGTACAGTTGAAATAGTCCCACCATAAATTATACATATTGGTTCTTAGTTTCTACTATCCATAAGTATTTCTAAAGGAAAATAAATAGGGAGAGTGGGTCACCTCTCTCCATTGGCCTAACCGAATAAAATTTCAACCAAGTCATTGACTAAATGAGCAAATGGGTGGATCTTATCGACCATCCCGGAGCTAAAAAAATACAAGGTGATGCTGTTGTAGCTTAGGATTCCTTCCCAAAACTCATGAAAAATAGAGAGAGGTTAGGATTTGGTAACCTTCCATTCCAAATCCAATGAGTTGATATAAACGATATGATAAATTACAGGGGACCCTCTAAAATTTACAATTCATGTTGCATACAATGTGAACGAGTCATGTGTCCAGTTTGGTCTTTACCTTCTAGATAGATATGCGCAGCTTAATCTCATTAATTAGACGAGTAAGACTTTCACGAAATGAGTTCTACTTCTACATCTCCTAATTTACACTTCTTATATACATAAAACACGAGTAAGTCAGGTGTCAATGATCATTTGATTTAATGCATGGCACATACGGTTTGAAGAAGATTGAGGTTCTACCATAAAATCAATTGGCAAAATGAGGAGTAGTTCAATTACTTGTAACCACATGCAAGGTATCTTTTCTCGATGTGGGATTAATACTCTCACCACACCCCTTACGTGTGATAACTTTTAAGCCTAGCACATGGATAAGACAAATCCGGTGATGTAAAGCACGTGTGACCGTTGGACTTTACACATGAGTCAACCCGCTTTGATACTATAGAGAAGGTTAAGGTTTCATCATAAAACCAACTAACAATATAAAGAGTAACTCAATTACTTATAAACACATGCAAAATACACTCTTTTCCCTATGTAAAATTAATACTTTTAACAGTTTTCGCTTTGTTAAAACAGATGCTCAGTTTAATCTCAAAGATGAGTCTTTCTTAGGAGATCTCAAAGATGAGTCTTAATCTCTCATAGAAGTATCGAAACCACCCACGTATTATAGCATACTTCTAGGTCTAATGGTAGAACACTTACTTATTCTACACCTTCGAAAAGATAATTATGCTGCATATAAGGTAGTTTTTTTGTTCAAGAAACTGTCTACAGTAGTTTGACAAAGCCGTTATTTATAGTTCAGCTCGCTTAATCCTCTGTTTTATTTTCATTCCAGTTATTTTTCTTTATCTAGTTAATTTGTTTGTTTCATCAATAATAATAATAATATCGATTCTCAAAAAAAAAAAAAAAAAAAAAAAAAAAAAACTCTTGCAAAGTTAGTAGGAATAAGTGCCCTCATTTCATTGGAAGTGTACCTCAAGAATTTGATCAAGTTCTTAAGTCTGAATAAGAATCACAAATGTTTTTCAATGTTGTAATAACTGATATATATTCCTCTTTACTTATAGGTAAGAGGTCTTAGATTCGAATTTCATGAATGACGATTTTGATATCAAAATAGGATGCCTATTGTATAGCTTAGCTAAACAATCCGCTTCCCTTAATGTTAAATATATCATTATACAAAACAAAACAAAAAAAATAAAAAAGAGCCACAAGTGTTTTTTACTGTTGCAATTAATTAAGTAAACGTTACAGAATATGGTAAGAAAGATCATCTGCTTGTTTAGTAACGATGGGAGGTGAAGTCACGTACAAAACAAAATGGAGGCAGATTGTCTATCCTTCTCATCTCTTCTTATTTGTGCGGTCACGGTTAAATAATGTTAACATTTTATATTCTTATTGTTTTTTGTCTTATTATTTCTATAAAAAAAAATCAATATAAAATGTTGACATGGCTTAACCGTGACCTCACAAAATAGAAAGGAATAGAAAATGCATCCAAACAGAAGGGCAGACAATCTGCGTCCAAACAAAATATAAACAAAACAGTGTACAGACTGCAGAAGGCACAAACTCGCATGGGGAATATTGTAAAGGGCTTATGCATATTCTTCATCATGATTTTGGCCCCAATTGCCAGGTTGCCAACCATGATCACCTCTCATGCTCCAGATTCAACACCCTTCTCACTCACTCTCGAGTCTTAACCCCACGAATCTTCATTGGAATTTGGATTATTAATTGATATTTCTTATTAACAACGCTGCCAATCACAACCCTACCCAGGATATTCCTAGCCTGGCTTGCTAGCTATATGACCCAACTTTTCTTGTTTTTTATTACAATATGGATGAATATCGATTTAGTTTATGAACTATACTTTAGTGAAAATTAGGTCATTGAATTATTTTTTCGATAAAATAAATTTCTAATTAAAAATTGCTAATTTCTTCCTTAATATTATATTCAAAGTTATTTTATCAAATTTTTCGTCAACTTAAGTCACTTGACACACTTTAGAGCGTAATACCGTCATTTTATCGCCTATAAGCCCTTAATCACATAGATTGTGAATCTAACATCTAATTTACCATCTAAAGTTAATTCCATACACTATTTCTTTATGAAAAATTACCAATCTCGCCTACAATGTGTATCATGTACAATTAACGTGACTTAAATTGACAAAAAAATTAAATATAGTACTTTCGAATCTAATATTAGGGATGTAATTAGGGGTGAGCAAACTAGTCCAGGACCCACGGGTTGGGGCGGTTCTTAAAATATGAGTGTATAGGCCTCCGGCCCGGCCCGTTTCTAGCATGTCTTAATATGAGTCATTCATAATCATCTATCCATTTATTCAGTTTCCCTTTCCCTCAATCTCTCCTCCTGGCTCCTCTCCTCTCACTCAGACGTCGATATCTCCTCCTGACTCGATCCCACCGTTCTAGTTCCGTCCACCGCCATCATCATTAGATCTCGATCCATGGTCATTGAAATCCTCTTTCGTCATTTTTCTTGTCAATTTATAGCGAATTCCTTCGTTTTTTTTGTGGCTTTAAATTCTGAATGCATGCAAGAAATTGGGAATGGGAATGCAATAGTGGTCAATGATCTGGTGCTCCTTGATTCTGCTATGTCTCACTCACTCACTCTCTCAAAATCAGTTTCTTTTTCTGTCAAACTCGAAGGGATTTTGTTGGGTTCTTGAATCTTGACCTCTGTTATGTTCCAATTTCAATTCTATTATTGAATTAAATTGAATTTGAATATATATGCATGTCTTGTGATAGTTCCAATTTATTTCTGTTCCTGGGCCTTGGCTGGGATTTGTCTTCAACAATTGCAGGGGGTTTGGTTCGTGGTCAGCAGAAAGGCTTTGGTGGCGGCAGAGGATTTAGTTGGATAGGTTTCTGTGCATGTGTTTTTGTTTTGGGCTCAACTCTTGGGTTGGGCTCTTCTTTTGTTGGGTTTTTGGAGATTCTTAGTTGTAGTGTGGTTGTTGTAAATTTGGGCCTCCAGTTGTGTTTGTAAATTTTGTGTTGGTAATAAAAGTTGAACCTTTTGACCAAAAAAAAAAAAAAAAAAACTATTCTAATTAAAAAAAAAATTGTTATTGGAGCCATGGACTCGACCCGAACTTGCCCGTTTCAAACAGGTCGGGTTAGGTTTGGTTCCAGATTCTGAAATTTCATTATTCAGCCCCGCCTGGCTCATTTCTTTTAAACTTGGGTTCGGTCCGGTCCCTTCAAAATTGGGCTTGACCTGACATGTGCCCAGCCCTAGATGTAATTGGCAGATTTATATAATTCTTGGATTGATTTTTTTTTTTTGAAAAAATAGTTTAGGGACCTAATTTTCACTCAGGTGATAATTCAATGACTAAATAGGTAGTTCACCCTTACAATATTATTGTGGCATGTACTCGTATTATTGTGAGATTCATAATGATGGTGCTATTCACATGCCTCTTTTTGCCTTCTATACACAATTTTCAATTTTTGGCCGTTTGATTGAAGAATTGAAGAAGATCAAATGACATAAATTAACAAGGGGTGTATGAGAAGTAAAAATGAGTATATGAACAACACCATCCATTCACTAACATCAACGGCTAATATGTATCTATGTATGTGCGTGTGAGCGATTATTATTACAGTTGATAGTATTTGTGGAGCAAAAAATGATCAAGAAAATTATTGAGGTGACACGTGGACTATTGGGTTAAAAGGACAAAATTGCCCTCGAGGCACACCGAGATTCCTATGCGCATGCAATGGACAATAACGGCTCAATCAAGGAATAGTCAAAGGTGATCAAAATGGTATTTATTCAAATCCCTTTCATCACTCCTCATCAAATCCTTATTCAAAAGGTAACTCCCAATTTTCCTATTTAATTTAGGATTAATTGTCATGTTAATTGCAAGATATTATTTCACATAATACCTTGCATTATTCACACAATTTCACCATATATGGCCGGTCACTATTCTCCAAATAGGGTCGGCCACACCACTATAAATAGCCCTATTCTTCCACTAAAAAGCTAAGTCATTTGCTACCCACAAACTTCTAAATATATTATTTTCAGAATTTTAACTTTGGCATTGGAGATTCTTCAGCCAAAGCCCCCACATTCATCATGGGCGTGTGAGGCTTTTGGCCTTAATCTTAGGTGTTATTATTTTGCAGGTGCATTTTCGTCAAAGGAGAAGACAACGGAAATTTACATCCACATTATTTATGTGTGTGTATGTGTGTGTAAGCAACTAAATAAACAGCTAACAGTTAATTACGTGCATGTAAGTGACTAGCTAGATAGTTGACAATCACGTATATACGTGTAACTACTAATTAACATGTGTGTCATATCCTATAACATGGATGGTACCATGTTAACAACCCGAAGTCATCAAATCAAACAAAGTCTCAATTGGTAGGTAGATTGAATATGTAGAGATTTCATTGCGTGTAAGTGACTAACATCAACAGTTGACACCTACTTAAGTGTACGTAAGCGACTAACATTAACATATGCACACATTCATTTATATGTGCGTGTAAGCGACTTAATACTTATATGCATGTGTGTTGTATAATACTATAACATAATACCAACAACTCTAGAATTCCAAAGTCATCAAATCAAACAAAGTGGTAGGTAGGATATATAGAGATTTGACTGAGAGTTAGGAATATTGAGCTCTATATAAAATTACTTTTCAAGGATTAATCAATAGAAAAACTAACGAAAAGTTCAAAAAAAATTTTGGTTTAATGAAAAATGACAAATAAAGGTGTAGTGAATAATACTAAAAAAGGGTAAAAATATAGTTTTTCATTCAAAGTGAACAATATTGGGAGTATTTCGTTAAAACTCCCTTAATCAATTGATCATGAACCTCACTACTTATCAATAATTAACAAACTACTTTGACAAAAAAATAATAATTAACAAATTAAACTGCCTAACCGATCCTCCATGAAAGTTGTCACATAGCTCGATCTCTCCATGCCCAATTGCCTATTTTGTGAACGATCAATACATGAAAGCATGCATGCACGTGTTATGTGGCGAATGGAGATTTGGGACCATTGCCCACTATCTTGTGTTGCTCGTTTGGTCATGACTTTTCTGTCAGGAAATAAGATCCAAGCCAACCCAACACATCTTCCATAATCATGACTTTATGTACCTTGTGTTGGAATTGATATTAGTAGTTCTTGGAATCTTACAACCGGTATTCTAAAGGCTAGTTCTACTCATGAGCTCTTAAAAATTTGTATTAGAGTCTAGTTTCATCACGCAATTCAGTTTAGACTTTTCATAATGCGCAACCTATAAACTGGAAGGCGAGTGAAGTGGCTATAAAGCAAGGAAAGAGCTGGCTGCCGCCGAATTAATATCGATAGAGGGGGCCAACGAGAGGACTTCGGGTCCGAAAGCGTGCTTTTGGCACCCTTTCCATACAAGCCTGTTTTTTAGGGACAAGTTCTACATTCATGGCCTCTTTAACATTCAATAAGTTGTGATTGAAATGCTTTCTATAAGACTTAGGGCTGGTTTGATATTGTTGTGTTTTGAAAAAAAAACTGTTTTTGCTGTGCTTTGAGAATAAGCAGCTGTGAAATAAAGCAGCTAAGTGTTTGGTAAACTTTTTTTGTGAAAGTGCTTTTGAAAAAAAAAAAATAGTATTATAGTGTTTGATAAACTTTTATGTAAAACAGATGTGAAAAAATGCTAGTTTTTCAAAGGTAGGTTTTGTACATTTGTGTTTTTGGCTTTTTTTCACCTAAAACTGTGAAAAAAAAGTTGAAGCTGAATGTTTACCAAACAAAAAAAAGTTCCCAGCGTTTTTTGATAGCCACTTTTTTCAGAATCATCTTAGTACCAAACTAGGGCTTAACTTGTCAATTGTAGACAAAAACAATTTTGAACCACGTTATTGCTAGATCATTGTGAGCGCTAGTTCATTATGAGTTTTAACTCACTCCTCCACTTTCTTAAATAGATAATATCATTTATTAAAAAAATAAAAAAAAACAAAACAAAACAAAACCGAATCAAACCGAAATATGTCAAAAATCCGGGCCTATAACATATCATTAGAAGAATGCATTTGAGATTCCGTATACAAATCAGGGGTAAAACAGATAGAATGCATTTGAGATTCCGTATACAAATCGGGGGTAAAACAGATAATCACCACAAAAGAATGGAAGACGGGGCCACCACTAAAAGCGGATGCCGCAGAACAACTGGATCCACAAGAGGCCCAGATCAGGGTGACGCGTCACGTGGACCGTAGATCCAGTCCCTTCCTACAAAAGAACGAACGGTGGGGATTCGGTCGGGACCGAATTTGCAGTGCATTTAAGTCGCATTTACTTTCGGGGCGGAGTTGAAATTTCATTTCGCTGGGCAAATTTGTGGATTTCCAATTTTTGTTTTTTCCGCTCGGGTTTTCGTGTCCGCCAGTCACGTCCGTGCCTTTATTGTTTTTTGTTTCCATTTCGAACCAACACCAAAGGCCCTCAAGGCGGGCACGACCAGTACCAGCAGCAGCTCATCCGAACCTCAAATCCCAAAACTCGCATTTTCTAGGGTTTCAAAGAACAGGTGACTCTCTCTCTCTCTCTCTCTCTCTCTACATTTTGATCCGGTTGTAATCTCAAAATTTTCAGGATTTTGGTTCGATTTTGGGTTTTCCCCGTTCGGGTGGTCCATTTTTGCTGCATTTGGTTTTGGGTTGTGATGTTTGTTCGGTCTGTGTACAATTTGGTAGATTTGTGCCTTGATCTGTTTATTTGTAGGTGATGAGGGGTTTGCATTGCTGATTTTTAATTTATTTTTGAAAAAAATATAAAAAAATTTGCCTAGTTTTCGTAGAGCCGAGAAATGTTTTTGAATTATGTTTGGATTATTATTTTTTAAATAAACTGGCATTATATTTATGCTTTTTTTGTTTTGATTTTCTTATTTGGGAATTGGGTTGGAGTCGATTTGGTGTTATCTGTTTATGTTTGTTAACTTCAATCTCTGTTGTATGTGCACCAATGGAGATCAATGTTGATTTCTATGCAGCCTTCTGTTTGTCTGAGACAAGCGATAATTCCATTCAATGTGATGCATATTGTTTTAATTGTTGTGTTGTGGATAATTTGGGTTTTTAAATTTTGTGTTGTGGGTAATTTGGGTTTTACAATTCGATGCTGTTTATTTGCTTGCACAAAGTAGAAGATGGCGGACAGCGAGGACATTCAGCCTCTTGTCTGTGATAATGGAACGGGAATGGTTAAGGTATGCGAAACAGATTTCCATCCCAGCCTTTAGAATGTATAATAGAATATCAATCTGTATGTATTTTAACTGGTATGAATCTAAGATGTTAGAAAGTGGATTTAGTTTGATTGAATCATCGTTGTATAGGCTGGATTTGCTGGAGATGATGCTCCAAGAGCTGTGTTCCCTAGCATTGTTGGTCGCCCACGTCACACTGGTGTTATGGTTGGAATGGGTCAGAAAGATGCATATGTTGGGGATGAGGCTCAGTCCAAGCGTGGTATCTTAACCCTGAAGTACCCAATTGAGCATGGAATTGTGAGCAATTGGGATGACATGGAGAAGATTTGGCATCATACCTTCTATAATGAACTTCGTGTTGCACCCGAAGAGCATCCAATTCTCCTGACTGAAGCACCTCTCAACCCTAAAGCAAATCGTGAGAAGATGACCCAGATCATGTTTGAGACCTTCAATGCTCCAGCTATGTATGTAGCCATCCAGGCCGTGCTTTCCCTCTATGCCAGTGGTCGTACTACTGGTAAGCTATTCAATCAGATTTGATAATGCACTAACTCCTTTCTTTATGGAATTGTTTTTATGTTGCATAAATTGGTTTGGCCTTGTCGATAAACAAGCATTTTACGGTTCAGCCTAAAATTTTCAAAAGAAAAAAAGGTAGGCGACTACCTTTAAATGGGTTCATAGTAGATAAGATGGGCATATGCAATTTGTTTGGGAGTGATTTTGAAATATTTGGGATATAGTTTTATCTATGAGAATGATATTGGGTAAAAATATCATTTTGGGTTTGCTTAGATCAGCAAATTGTTATGGTAAAATTATGGTATTTTGGGTTTGCGTTTGAACGGAGGTCCAGGTTGCTAGTGCAGAAGCCATTTCAACTGTGATTCATGTTTTCTATGTGCTTGTGTGCAGGTATCGTTCTTGACTCTGGAGATGGTGTCAGCCACACAGTCCCTATTTATGAGGGGTATGCTCTTCCGCACGCCATCTTGAGGCTTGACCTTGCAGGTCGTGATCTGACTGATGCCTTGATGAAAATCTTGACTGAGCGTGGCTATTCATTCACCACCACAGCAGAGCGTGAAATTGTGAGGGACATGAAGGAAAAGTTGGCCTACATTGCTCTTGACTATGAACAGGAATTGGAAACTTCTAAAACCAGCTCTTCTGTTGAGAAGAGCTATGAGCTACCTGATGGTCAAGTGATCACTATTGGGGCAGAGCGTTTCAGATGCCCAGAAGTCCTCTTCCAACCATCCATGATCGGAATGGAGGCTGCTGGTATTCATGAGACCACTTACAATTCCATAATGAAATGCGATGTCGATATCAGGAAGGATTTGTATGGCAACATTGTTCTTAGTGGTGGTTCGACCATGTTCCCTGGAATTGCTGACCGAATGAGCAAGGAAATTACTGCATTGGCCCCAAGCAGCATGAAGATCAAGGTGGTTGCCCCACCAGAGAGAAAGTACAGTGTCTGGATCGGAGGATCTATCTTAGCTTCCCTCAGTACCTTCCAGCAGGTTTGTTTCTTAATACATTTACTTAGTTTTCTTGTGCAAACTGCTCGTCAAAGAGATTCTTATCGGAAATCCGATTCTGTTTGAGTGCAGATGTGGATTGCCAAAGCTGAGTACGATGAATCCGGTCCCTCAATCGTGCACAGGAAATGCTTCTGAGAACAATCAATGATAGGCGGAGTGATGATAATGGAAAGAAAATGCTGCTTGCATTCTTGCTCTCTGGTTTTGTTGTCCGTTTTTATTTCGCTTTATATTACTTAAATGTCTGGATGACTTTGTAGGTTTACCGCTGGATTATCTGTAATTTTGCTGAATATGTTTGTATTCACAGTGATCATCGACTAATCCCCCTGCAAGTCTTTTGGTAGAGTGTTGGTTCTGTTTCATCTCATTTTTTCTTGCTTATGAAATTTCTCATGTGCTAATGATGGAAGTATTTGTCGACCATTTGTTCCCTTGCTTCTTTCTTTTATTCAAGGAAACTTTAACGAAAAGTTTTCAGTACTGTTTATTTTAACGAAAAATCACATTTTACACTAAAAAGTCAATTCTGGTACTATTCATTTTACTTTTTATTTTGTCCTTATAGTTAAGATTCAGTTTTAAAACCTTTTTTTATTAGTTTCCTTTTATTCAATTGGGATACTGAAGAAGAATGGCTCATAGATAGCAAACCCGGATTACGTTTGTAAAGGGTTCGAGTCATTCCGTTGTAACCGGAAAGAGACTAATCAGTGGTAAGAGTTTCCAGGTTGGACGAATGGAAAAAAATTAGGGCCCTATTTGGTATTCTATTAATTTTTTTCTTTTCATAAATCTTGAAAACTTGAATGCACTACTCAAAAAACGCATTTTGTATTTAACTTGTAAACTATTTCAAATCTTAAGGGATGCAAGCTAGACAACCCAATGATTTGTTTGTACAAAAGCATCAGGTGGCGGTGGTTGAGGGAGGAGATCGGGATTGGGATGAGAACTTTTCGTGGAAAGGGTTGGGCTAAGTTTATTTTAGTTAAAGACCATGCTATAACTTTATTTAAATACATAAACTTAAATTTTAATGAAAAACTCTTAAACTTTAATAAAAATGACAAAAAAACTTAAATTTTAATGAAAAAAAACATAATTTTAATATTGAAATTTTTTTAAAAAAAAACTAACGCGCCGTACTACATTGTTTATGAAATTTACTACATTGTTTATTAAATTTACTACACCATTTATGAAACTTACCATATTGTTTATGAAATTTAACGGTACTACATTGTTTATGAAACTTAACGGTATTGCACTGTTTATGAAACTTAACAGTACTGCACTCTTTATGAAACTTAACAGTATTGCATTGTGTATATATGTATATTATTTCTTTTGCCTTAAGTAGGTATGCGTGAAATCTATGTGACATCCCATATCGCGCCGAGTGAGTGATCCTTATATGTATATTCCCATCTCTACCTAGCACGAGGCATTTTGGGAGCTCACTGGCTTCGGGTTCCATGGGAACTCCGAAGTTAAGCGAGAAGGAGGCTAGAGTAATCTCATGATGGGTGATCCACTAGGAAGTTGCTCGTGAGTTCCCAAAAACAAAACCGTGAGGGAATGGTAAGTCCAAAGCGGACAATATCGTGCTACGGTGGTGGAGCGGGCTCGGGAAGTAGTCCCCCCCGGGCGGGGATGTGACAATTGGTATCAGAGCTAGGTTTCGATCCTGGGACCTGTGGGCTTGCGCCAGGGGAGTGATCCTTATATGTATTTCATCTCTACCTAGCACGAGGCCTTTTGGGAGCTCATTGGCTTTGGGTTCTATGGGAACTCCGAAGTTAAGCTAGAAGGGGGCTAGAGCAATCTCATGATGGGTGATCCACTAGGAAGTTGCTCGTGAGTTTCCAAAAACAAAACCGTGAAGGAATGGTAAGCCCAAAACGGACAATATCGTGTTACGGTGGTGGAGCGGGCCCGGGAAGTGGTCCCCCCGGGCCAGGATGTGACATCTACGTATATCACTTTTATATATATTATTTATCATATATATGAAAATACATCTTACGAGATTATAGTATCAGACGTGTGTTTGTGTTATCTTGTTTTGTCAAAGTCCTAAAAATGGACGTCATTGCTGTTACAATAATACAATATTTATGTGTATTTTCATGTACTTTTTCTTATTTAGTTATATTTGGAGGGAGGAGGGAAGGGAGGCAGATTCTCTATCCTCTCACTTCCCCTGCCCTCCCACTTCTCGTGCCTTCTTGTTTGTGTGATCACGGTTAAACCACGTCAACATTTTACATTACTATTCTTTTTTGTCTAATTATATCTATAAAAGAAACAATATAAAATGTTGACAGGACTTAACCGTGACCACACAAAACAGGAGGGCACGGGAAGTGGGAGGGCAGAGAATCTGCCTCTGGAGGGAAGGGGGGGGACAAGCTAGGCACACATGTTTATATTTTATGTGTTTTTTCCTTATCATTAAATAAAGTTATTAGATGATTTTTAATTAATATACAAAATTTTGAAATCATTTTTATTATTATTATTTTTTAATACAAGCAACAGTTTATTCTAAACTCGTCAAATTACGAGAAAAATAATTCGATATATTATTCTAACCAATCTAGTTCGGTTAAGAAAAGTTAGGTTTGTTTAAAAGAAACAAAAACAAATAAAGTTAGGTAAATATGCCCACAATTGTTAGTCAGATTGATTTATTTATTTATTTATCAAATGTCAATATGCCCCAAATTTACAATAAGGGCTTTGGAGGGGAGGACAAATCAAAATTGGAGTCTCAGGACAGGAGTTGCAGTCAGAAGCATGTGGTTGAGAGTTTGAAGGAAGGACTCGCCTAACTAGATTTGCTTCCGACGAGCAGCGAAAAGGAAGTTGAAGTTCGAAATTGGTATTCTCAGCTCGAAATGTTGGGTTACATTTTTCACCGCGGAATCCATGGAACCAAACAGACCCTTTGGATTTGATTCTGAACAGCAGAGAAACATGGGTAGGATTGCCGTAGCCGCGATTGTGAGCCTGTGGGTAATTCCCATCTCCATCCTCGTCAGTCACATTGTTCCCGAACCCTACATGGTAAAACCCTAATCCCACCCAAGACACCAACTTCCATCCATTCAATTCAATGTGATTTTTATTGTATTTTAGATTTTTGGGTTGTATGATTTTTTATTTTTTTATTTTTTTGAGGAGTTGGTAAATAAATTTATGATCTGCAGGATGAGATATTCCATGTGCCTCAAGCACAACAGTACTGCAATGGCAATTTCAGAAGCTGGGATCCCATGATCACCACTCCTCCTGGCCTGTATGTTCTCTACCATTTCTTAATTTTCTACTCTTTTGTTGTTGTTAAGTTCTTTTGAACTTTGTACCCCACCAGCTGATTTGTAATTGCGAAAAACGGGTTTTAATTACTTTTAACAAATTAAATGGCTTTGATATGTTTTGCTGGAGAGCTTAAGAATCATGTTGTATTGCAGTATTTAGTATTTAGCAAAGAATTTAACATGGGCAATGCTTCAATTTTGCAGGTACTATCTTTCACTAGCTCATGTTGCATATTTGTTTCCAGGCATGTCAGTCGTAAAAGCAGCCACGTCGTTTTCTGAAGGCTGCTCCACAGCCATTCTTCGCTCTTTCAATGGTGTTTTGGCGGTATTTTGCAGCGTTGTTGTGTATGAGATAATCATTCACTTGAGACCCGCTCTTGATGAAAGAAAAGCAACACTTTATGCGGTGGTGCTAGCCATTTACCCGCTTCATTGGTTCTTCAGTTTTCTCTATTATACAGATGTTGCGTCACTTGCTGCAGTGCTTGCTATGCATCTTGCGTGTTTGAAGAAGAAGTACTGGTTTAGTGCATTGGTAAAAGCTTAAATCTCTTCCATAAGTCATTGTATGGTTTTGATGCAAGCACACGTATGCTATGCCTAAATGTTTTGTCTGTTCAAGTGGTAACTTGGTTTGATGTTGGTAATGCAGCTTGGTTCCGTGGCAGTTGTTATTCGGCAAACAAATATTATATGGATGCTTTTTGTTTGTTGCAGTGAGGTTATAAATATTACAATGGCTGACCATAAAGATAAGATATATGTAGACAACACAATTAGGATAAAAGGTCAGCCAACTCCTTCAAACAGTGTTACTTTAGGCTCAAACTTGAGAAAGCGGAAGGCAACCACTGTAGTGGATACTGGAAGACATTTAATCTCGACTAGAAAAGTTTCTTTTCAAACTTGCAAATTAGGTTTGTCCTCACGTAGCTTGCCAACTTGGTTGCTCATACCCTGCATTGGATTTTTTATTCTCAATAGCACTTGGTATTCTTTTGCAGGTTTTCTTGATGAAATTGAGGCAATCTTTCCAAAATTATGGCACATGAAGTTGGAACTTTTGGTTTCTTTCAGCCCTTTTATTCTAGTATTAGCAGCCTTTATTGCCTTTGTTCGGTGGAATGGGAGTGTGGTTCTAGGTACGACAACTCCTTTTGTTGCTTGGGTTTTTTGGCTACAAATTGTGGGCAATGAATTGCCCTTGATCGCTGTTGTCTCATACTGTGTCCAATTGTTGTAGGTGCAAAAGATGCTCATGCAGTTTCTCCACATTTTGCACAGATCATGTATTTTGGTCTGTTTTCTGCCCTTGCTATGGCTCCTATGCTCTTTAGCCCGAGTCAAACTGTAGATTTATTCCAGTCAATGTGGAAGAACAAGTTCCTTACCTTCATTCAGATATCTTTGGCACTTGGTGCTGGCTTCATCGCAGTCCATTTTTTCAGGTGAGGGTTATTTGGCATATGCGCTCAATGCTTTTATAATTATAGTTGCATTCAATTTAGCATATGTCAGCTGATATGAAAGTCAATTTTTAAGTGATATTTGAGAAAAGCAACTTTTCAAGTGTTGTTTTAACGTTTTCTCCAATTTCAAGGACGGTGAATGTTTCCTCTGCTGTTTTCACATCCAAATGCAGCATCGATACTCATTCATAACTTTTATGTAACAAATCATCATGTAGTTTCTTGACTGTTGCAGCATAGCTCATCCCTATCTTCTGGCTGACAATCGGCATTATCCTTTTTATCTTTGGCGGAAGGTCATCAAAGCTCATTGGTCAATGAAGTACCTTCTAGTCCCACTTTATGTTTATTCATGGCTTTCCATCGTCACTAGATTGGGTTGGTATGCAGATCTATACCTTTCAATTTTCCTTATGTTTCTTCCCTAAGACTTGTTTTTATTTCCCTCTGGCAGGGAAGTTTCAGAGGAAGATCTGGGTGCTGGCATTTTTCTTGGCTACTGCTGCAGTTTTGGTTCCCGCACCGCTGATTGAGTTTAGATATTACACCATTCCATTCTTTTTCTTGATCCTACATTCGCATACTGAAGATTATCGAACTTGGCTCGTCATGGGGGTGCTGTACATAACTGTCAACGTCTTCACAATGATGATGTTCTTGTATCGACCATTCCATTGGTCCCATGAACCAGGGACCCAGCGGTTTATATGGTAGCCACTGGCTAGATTCACCGATAGATTCCCAAAAAGTTGTTCAGGCCCATAGAAACTCAAAACTTTCATAGTAATCAGATTCCGGCATGGCGATGTCGATGTAGTGTACATGTGATCCATGCTTTCTTTTCCTTTTTGTCGTTGAAACTGTATTGAGTTTCTGTTGCAGCACTGTATTAGGTGAATTCATTTATAGAAATAAATGAAACGTTTTGTTTTTCCTTACCTATATGAATTTGAATCATATTTTTCATTGCTCCATAGTTTTAACGTTTGAAACAATAATGATACTTGGACACACAAAACTGGTCACATAGCCGACAATCTCTGATAGAGGTGGGTCTTATCATTACATGTAGGACTCTCCTGTACCAACAATGCATCTAAATAACGTTATTCCGTTCGAAACCCAAATTTTATTTTTGAACTCGGTGCAAAAATGAAAATACACTACCTTGGATCAACTGGTCTATTACACGTTCACCTAAAATTGATTTAGCTTGAAGATGAAAAGAGGGTATTATGTGTTTGGTTGACCATGGTCAACACTCAACAGTGATATTCCGTTGTTCACAGGCCACGAGCTAGCAAGGTCTCAAGTTGAAAGCCACGGAAACCGGAGGTAGCTAAGCCATGGAATTCGGTTCTCTCTGCAACCTCGAACCTCAAACACTGACGAGCCATGGTGGTGGAGAAGTCGGGTCAAATTCTGCGGCGAATGTTTCTGGGCTTTTTTTCTTAAAGCATCCTCTGTGCTCTTACTAGTGATCACATAGCTACTTTCTGTTGTACATTTCAGGGAAGATGCTCTCCACAGTACTACCAAGCGATCTTTCTTTCGTGATGTTTGTCAAGCTTCATGTTACGCTCTGATATTTACGATACTAGCTTATATAATCTCTTCCTTGGTGAATCTTATCCTAGTTTTTGGGTATAACTTTGGTTATAGGTGATACTGTTGGATTATCGGGTTTGACGGATGGAATGATTATGAGGTGTACAACACGAGTCAATAGAATTTTCAATCTTTAACATGGTACATCTGCTAATTCTTGTTTTAGACTCTGGCACGTCATACTTATTTTCGTATTCACGCTGTATCCAGGGTTAGCGAAAAGTTTGAACGAAGATTGTGTTGCGAGAATGGAACCAGAAAGGATAGATTTTGTTCATTGCCAGACATGGATGGCTGAGACATGGCATTCGCGGAAATCTTAAAGGATATACAATAAGGTGAGGAAAGTTTGTATCTTTTGTATTCAAATGCTGAGATCATGTGGAGATTTCTTGTTAAGTCGAATAAGGTGACAGAAATTCTATATGTAGCTGTGTAACGTAGACAACAATTTGGTTGGATTGTGTAATCTTTTTTCAAACTGTCAATAACATTTCTCTTGTTTTTGAGAGTCGTTACTTCACTATTTACATGCATTAATGGCTGATAGTCACTCACGTATGGATGATCTAGCAGTTTTTTATAATTTTGCAAAGCGTTGTTTCAAAATAATGCTACCTTTCTTTTTGGTCTGAAAATAATGCGCTACCTTCTCTTTTTTGTTTGTAAATGATAATAATGCCCTACCTCTCATTCTATGGATTTATAGAATAAAACATTGTTTCTTGCAAGAAAAGTAAAAAAATTAAAAATTAAAAAATAAAAAACAAAAACAAAATAAAAGCTTCTTGTCATGTTGAAAACTGGCAGTTTACTTTATCAGTGTCCATTTGACTGGCAGTTAATTTTTCAGTCAGCTAATTGATGGTGGGGTCAATGGCGAATCCCAGGCTTCGCAGCCTGCCATGGTGGCGAAGGTGGACCAAAAATGACTGGGCAATCGCCGCCGTCGGATTTACCGTAATCGCCTTCGCTCTCACTCTCCTCTCCAGCTCTAGGCGCGACAAGCTAGACTCCGGAATCTCCAGCCCGTTTCTTCCCAACGCCGCCGCCTCCGACTTGGTCGAGTTGACCTTGCTCAAAAACGCCAAGGATAGAGGCGCCCGTACTTAATCCCAACCCTCTGCCTTCCAATCTCTCTCTCTCTCTCTCTCTCTCTCTCTCTTCCCTCAATTGTTTGGATATTGATTTTGCAGTTTGCTTGGATGGGACTGCCCCTGGCTACCATTTCAGGAAGGGTTTCGGATCCGGCGCCAACAATTGGTTGCTTCACATTGAGGTCAAAATTCAATCCCTACGCCTTTTTTTTTTACATGTCTGTCAGTTTGTTTCATTTAAGTTCAGTGTATTTGCATATGCTAGTAGATTTTTGTGTTTAGAAAGGAGAAATGCGTAATGGGTTTGGGTCAAAAATCGAAAATATAGGGTGGAGGTTGGTGTAATTCGACTGAATCGTGTTCTTGGCGCAAAGGTACTCCATTAGGGTCTTCTAATTACATGGATCGTCTAGTTTCCTTTTCCGGTATTCTGAGCTCTCATCCATCGCAAAATCCTGGTAAGCTTGATTTTACTCGGTTGCTATTTGTATTCCGTAATGCTTCGTTTTGTAATTTTAGCTCAATCTTAAGTTGTGGACCATATAATTGATGTGATTCAATTCATTGTTGGAGCATTCTCTAGAGTTCTTTAACTGGAACAAAGTCAGAATCCGATACTGTGATGGGGCGTCCTTGGCTGGCCACCCGGAAAATGAGTCTACGGTGCATTGTGTTTGGAGATTTGCTGCCTTGTCTAATTTTATAAATGGAAGAAAGGAAGTTGTTAGTTTAACAGTGGCTGTTTTTCTATTTCACAGAATGGATCGGAACTTTTCTTTAGGGGCCAACTCATCTGGGAAGCAGTTATCGATGAACTCTTGTCAATTGGCATGTCAAAAGTGAAACAGGTATATTACTTCGGTTAAGCTCTAATTTTGAACAATATGAACTACAGTTCACAGCTTTTAAACATCAGTGAATTTCTATGCATGTATCGATTACTATGACTATACAAGATGTCCTTTTCACTCTCGTTTTAAGAGCTGGTTTTATTAGTATTATAATGATATGATTGGTCCAGCAATTGTTATAACATTGTCCGCAAAAATGTATTGTTTTCCACCATGAACTAATTTAAAGCTGCTCATCCAGATTTTAACATTGAGTGGTCTATTTCTGCTAATATGTATGAGTGGCGCTCCTGCAGGCCCTTCTTTCAGGATGTTCTGCCGGTGGGTTAGCGACTCTTATACATTGTGATGACTTTCGAGGTCTTCTGCCTAAAGATGCAACTGTCAAATGTCTTGCTGATGGAGGTTTTTTCCTTGATGAGTATGTTTTTTGTGTATTAGTGCCTTTGGCACCTACATCTTTTAGTGAACCTGTTCAAGATGAAATCTTTCTAGGATTATACAAGGATTGTATTTTTTTGTGGACGCTTCCAGAATCATATTTTCTTTTCAATCTATTTTCTCCTAAATCATAAATTTCATTTGCCTGATTCTACTATTTGATTTTCATACATCAGGATACGAGACCTATCAAAATGGAATACCAACGTTACCGTATCTTTTCTGACATGACTGAAAGTCTTCCTATCAAGTTACATTAGAATTTTTTTTTATGATGCTTTTCCCTTTTTTCTTCTCTAGTGCATCCTCTGAGCTCAGGATAGTGAATTCATAAAGAAATACAGAGGAAGATAGAGAAGGAGGGAAAGTTTTAAGCCATTTTCTGTTTCCTACATTTCAGGAAAGATATTCTCCAGCATCGGACTATGAGGTCTTTATATAACGATGTTGCCATCCTTCAGGTTAGCTCTTATGCAATCTTTAGCTTTTTTATCACCCTATTTTTTTTGTAGAAATTGAATTACTACCAGATGCTGATACTGTCACGTTTGACATTAGTCATTAGATGTAAAAACTAGTGAATATGTTTTTGAATTTTATATAGGTCCATCTGCTTGTTCTTTTTTGGGAGTTTGACGCATCATATATGAGAAAGCGTTTCATTCATCTTGAGTTTATCTATATCAATTATTTGAAAATTAACTGTTTTGTCATTTGAGGCTATTTAAATTACTAAACGGTACCTTCACTGACACTAAGGTCTAGGTCTAGCAGGAAGCTACATGTTTAGGACATTAGTCATTAAAAAGTACCTTCATTGCTTTCTCTTGCTTATTTTTCTGTCACGCTGTCAGGGTTTAGCAAAAAGTTTGCACAAGGATTGTATTTCGAAGATGGAACCAGCTAAGGTAGTTGTTCTTTTCCTCTATATGATGCCAAATGGTCAGATTTTATAGGTTCTTATTTTTCTGCTCGGTTATGAATTATAACACAAATCCCCATTATTTGTTGTGAACTTCTACACCAGTGTCTTTTTCCTGAAGAAATTATTAAACACAGTAACACCCCAGTGTTCCTTGTCAACTCAGCTTACGATTTTTGGCAGGCAAGTTTCTTCAGAACCCAAGCTTCATTTACTTGTCATCAGAATTCGATTCGCATTCTTTTCTCATTTCCTAATCGTATAACCATTAGGTACAACATGTCTTGATACCTGAAGCAGCAGATCCACATGGCTACTGGAAAAAGTGCAAACTGAACATTCACAATTGCAATTCCAACCAGCTTGAAATTCTACAAGGTAATTTGACGTGCATCCGGTGACCCAAAAGAGAGTCCATAGATCGGTCCTTGCAATTGCTTACTTTGTAGCTCCACTAACTGCAGGCTTGTCAATTGAAAAAGAGAGTTCATATATCTGTCCTTGCAATTGGTTCTATAATGAAGTGTAATTGTAAACGGAATATTGTGGCAGATTAACCTATCAACTTATTTCATACAGGTTTCCGTGGTTCTATGCTGAAAGCACTGAATGAATTCCAAAAAAATACGGAGGGAGGAATGTTCATAAATTCCTGTTATATTCATTGCCAGACGGATATAACCGAGACATGGCATTCACCCACTTCTCCACGAATAAACAATAAGGTGAGGAAAGTTTAATTATCTCATTTATCGGAAAACAAATGGTTTTCTGTCATTTTTTTAAAACTAGTTTGGTTTCTGACTGATTTGAACTTTCATAGACAATTGCGGAGTCTGT